TACACAGGGCATAGTTACATAGGCCTGCATATAATACAATACAACACACACAGGAGGAGAAGAGATACAATCAGACAACACGGCTGGTAAACAGATCACACAATAAAGAAACAAACAAAAGTAACAAGAACACAAAAGTAACAAAAAGGAAATAAAAGTAAAACTTTGGCAGAGAAGAGATCATTAACCCTTGCTGCGCCAAGACAGACACAGAGGGCATCGGGCAGCCGGGTACTCACCCTGAGAGGAGCCGGGTGCTGCTTGGCAGCAGGGGAAGAGCCCCAGGGGCAGAAGAAGCAGCAGCAGCACCATGGAGGGGCCCATGTTGGACCAGGAAGCCGGGCAGCTCAGGATAAGCTCTGTGGCCACCAGTGACATCACCCTCATCATGTGCCCACACACACCTGGATGAGTGCTGGAACACCCAGTGACACACACACCGTGCAAACACTCACTCTGGGCCTGTCAATCATCCAGCCCAGCCGGTCACAGCTCAGGCCGCCGCCCCGCCCACCACGGGCAACTTGGACACACCCATCCAGCAGTAATCTCGCAGCCTTCCTGACAGCGGAGGTCCACGCCCTCCCCGGGGAGCCTGGCTCCCTGGCCACGCCCATCCCGCAGTAAGCAAGCTGTGATAGAACGCCCTCTCTTCAGTGACAAAAGGAAGACCACGCCCTCCCTGGGGTTGTGGACCCTCCCTCAGCCCATGGAACTGCCTGCCCCCCCACATTGGCTGCCAAGTCTGCAGTGCCTCCGCTTTTCAGGAAGATGTTGCAAAACTGCAAAGGCCACTAGGAGCACTCAGTGTAACAATGGGGTGTATTTACTAAAGCAGCGAATGTCACATTCACCAAAACATTTACTGCATGTGAATCTGCCTGGTGCAAGTGTTTGCATGCCAGCCATTGGTTCACCTGCAGTGAAACAATAAAATGTGCAGGAAGTGAGTCTGAAAATACATGTGCAATAAAGCTAAAATAAATGTGACTTTATTTTCACCTGGTGATCCTGCCAGTAACACACTTCCTGTCATAGGGTGACAACGCTCACTGTGCCGTATGTGTGCAGGAGCAGTGTTGTCCCCCTAGCACAGTGAGTGTGTTAGCACTACAGAATGCCTTCCCTCATCTCCATAACATGGGGGGGGGGATTGTTCTATAGTCCGCAGAGAAAACTGCAAAGAATGTAACTGATAAGAGTGCAGCAAGGAGAGAGCACAGGAAGTAATCAGCTCACTGGATTACTGCCAGGTTCAACAGGTATTCTTTTGCTCATATTGCACAGATGTAACACTTTTAATAGAGTGTTTCCCGGACCGAAAGGGAGCAAATAAAGAGAATCTTGCTCTGTACATCTGGATTCTCTCCATTGCTCCATATTTCCTCCACCGTGATAAAGAGATTTACAGGGACCCCCAAGCTGCGATGATGAACTGATACATTTCCTGTGCTGTCAGTGGCTCCATGTGAGATACATGACTGAAGTGGCGTCACTAGGGGGGTGCGGCCTGCACCCGGGGTGACACCATTGGAGGGGTGACACTAAAATGACTGACAGCCATTTTGGTGTCACCCCCTCTGAAAAGTCGGCGCTCGGTCATGGGGTCATGGACCAAGTGTCGGCAGCTGCAGGAGAGAGGAGGAGGACCCCCCGGCGGCATACCTTATCCCTTCCGGTGAACTTCCCCTCCTCTCTCTAGTCGGCGTCCATCACCCAGATGGCCGCCGGCAGGTTACAGCACGTCACGTCATCACATGCCTGCGGAATGACATCACAGCGCGGTGTCGTCCGGTACCGGTGTTCTATCAAAGATTGTGACTGGGTTGCAATGTGTGATCGGTCACGTGGTCACCCATTTTAACGTAGTCACGCCCACTTTTTCAGTGGAAAAATATGTGACCGGCAAAATGTGAAGAATTCCAACGCTTTCTCAGCTGTTCCAGAGCAGATCGGCATTGCAGATGGTATGTGGGGGAGAACCGATCTGCCTTGGAACAGCTGATCGATCCTGAAATGTGACTTTTATCAGACTGTGGAATGTGAGATCGCACTCACAGAGTCCGATAGAAGTGACATTTCTGGACCGATCAGCTGTTCCAGGGAAGATTGGTTCTCCCTCACATCCGAAATCTGCCCCGGAACAGTTGGAATTCTTCACTTTTTGCGAGTCACATATTCCACCGCCGAAAAAGTGGGTGGAATCACGTTAAAATGTGTGACCGGTCACACATTCCACCGCCAAAAAACATGGCGGGATAAGGTTAAAATGTGTGACCACGTCACCGTTCACACATTCTAACGCTGTCACAGACTTTGATAGCACACCATGCCGCGGGACGCCCCTGCATGACGCCCCTGCATGACGCCCCTGCGTGTCCTTCTCATATACTTGACAATGACATTGTGAGGATTTGCAAGTGGTGGGGGAATCGTGTTCTTCATATGAGTTGTGTTCTTTAACCCTTTTGCTGCCACCAACGCCATGTTTGTTGGGCTCCGCTGCCCCTGCTGTGGGCCCAGGACAGGTATGGCGAGTGTCAGCTGGTAGAGGGGAGGGAGATCAGCAAACAGAGAAAGAACCAGGAAGCAACTGGCATTTTGTAATTTCCGGTTTCAGGCCCGGTTCACACCATCGCCAGTGCGCTCCAGCACAGTTACTGGTCTGGACCGTGCTGGATCGCATAGTGGAAGCTTCCCTGCGTTCTGGGGCGAGAGGGAGAAGTGCCATTCAAGTCAATGCGATTGCACCACACTGGAACACAGGCTTTACCATACCATGCGTTCTGGTGCGAGCGATCACACTGCGGAAAGGGGCGTGTCTCCAGTGCCACTGACTGGAATTACACCAACACACCTCCTCCCACCCCAGAATGCAGTGAGGCTTTCACTACATGACCCAGTGCGTTCCGGCCACTGACTGGAATAACACCAACATACCTCCTCCCACCCCAGAATGCAGTGAGGCTTTCACTACGCGACCCAGTGCGTTCCGGCCACTGACTGGAATAACACCAACACACCTCCTCCCACCCCAGAATGCAGTGAGGCTTTCACTACGTGACCCAGTGCGTTCCGGCCACTGACTGGAATAACACCAACACACCTCCTCCCACCCCAGAATGCAGTGAGGCTTTCACTACGCGACCCAGTGCGTTCGGGCCACTACCCATGCTGGAACGCACTGGAGATGGTGTGAAACGGCCCTCACAGCAGCCAGTGATGAAGCTAATCAAGAACAAGGCAGGCTGGATTAGCTTCTGTGGAGTCCAGGGGAGACATCAGGGGTCTCAATAAATGTCTCAATAAAGATGGCCTGTGACTACTATTGAGCTATCATATAGGGGGCTTGTCAGACCCCCTCCCCCCCCCCCCATGATAGCAATAGAGTAAAAAGTAAAAATAAATTAAAGAAAAAACCAACCTAAACTATGTCAAAGCCCCTCCCCCACACACAGGGACCTACATAGGAGGATGACGATTGCATCACGTGTTAGATATTGCAGCAATCATTCTAGAGTCTATATTCACTCTGTTATCTCTAAATGGATGACCTGTGAAGGATTTGGAAAAGTCGCCTGTGGACAATGTTGGGCACTGTGGTCTTTCTGCTGTTTCACGGGCGCACACAATTTTAAAGTGGAATGCTAGGAATTTAAAAAAAATGAACCCTTGCAATGGGGCTGAGTCCCGCACTGCTCAATTTGGCCTAGGGCAGGGGTGCCCATTAGGTACCCCTGCCTGGCAAAGTCTGGCAAATAAATTAGAAGAGCTTGAAATAATGATACTTGAAGAGGACTTCAATATAGTGGGTATAGCGGAAACCTGGCTGGACAGCACGCATGACTGGGCTACTAATATAGAGGGGTATAACCTGTTTAGGAGGGACAGAGGTGGGAGAAGGGGGGGGGG